GTCGGGGCCCCGCCCGACGGCGCGGACCCGGGGATCGCCCGGCCCAGGGCGTCAGCTCGCGTAGCTCTACCGCGTCCGGGGCGCCTTGCAGCAGGGCACGGTCTGCGAGGGGAGAGAGAGAAGGGAGTGAGGGTCAGTGGATGTGGGAGGGAGCCCCCTAGCCTCGCTGTCCACCTGCAAAAAAAGACCCCTGCTGGGACGCCGGGCACGGACGGCTTCTCATCTCACTCCCAGACCCCACATCTCCCCACCCCCTTTTCAGCTGCACATGCACCCTCTCTGGGTGGCGTTGGTGGGGTGGGGTGCGTACTCAGACCCCCATGCTGGGCCTCCAGGGCTACCAACACCCCTCTCTGGACCCTAATCCTGGGTTGGGCTGCGCAGAACCTGACTACCCCTTTTTGAGTGTCGGGGACCATTTTCCAGCCTGCCCACCTTGAGCTGAGCTGACCCAGGTCTTTAACTCACTTCCTCTGGGCCCCCCACCCCATTGCTGTCCATTTTCTGCTTCCCTACACCCACTTTCCGGACTATAGCTGGACCCCATTCATATACTGGGCTGCTCGGGGGTGGGGGAGGGGAGGTTCCCCTTTTCACTGAGCCACCCCAACCCCTTTATAGAAAAGAAATGGAGGGCTCAGCTGGGGGTGATGGGGACCCGAATCCCTGCGTCTGCTGGGCTTCCGGCTGCTGCCACTGCTATGCTGGGCTGCCCCCAGGGCATTGGTGCACCCTCTCTGGTCAGCATTGGGGTTCTGATTCCAACACCCCCATTCTTCACCCTCTAGCTAGGCTGTCATGAGTCTCTAACTCTCTCTAGGACCCCCAATCAAAGCCCCTGCATCTTCTCTGAGCCCCTGGGCTGTTTATATACACACCCATTCCTGCTGCCACCGTGCAGTGGGTGTCAGTTTCCCCATCCAATAAACCAAATCAGCGTGTTTGGGCTTTTCAGAACGCCCAGAAGAGCAGTAGATACTGAAGCCTACTGCGTTCCAGGCCTGTGTGGGGACCCCACCCCATGGAGTGGCAGCAGCTGTGTCAGGGCCACTCCCATGCCACAGGTGAGGAAACAGCATCTAAGAGGGCAAAGACTACCCAAAGTCACACCACTAGCAGGTGGCCGATAGGGAGAAGGCCCCAAAGGACATTCTTCCCACCTCCATCATTCACCAAGTTGGGCCCAAGTCCAGCCCTCTTCTCTCACAGTTGCTGAGAGGTGCCCCAAGTCACAGATTCCCAGGGCCCTGAAGCCTAAATTTACTACCCAAAGTGGTTGGCCCTGCCCCAATACTCCGCAGCACCAGGAGAGAAATGACGTTGGAATGGCAGGCAGCGCTGATGGTGGAACTGCAGGCAGGGGGCTCCCAGCCCCAGAGCAGGTGGCAGGTCCGCTTGCGGTTGGGAGAGGAAATCCTGAGTTTAGTCCCCGTCTGCCCCCAAGGCTGGCGCACCTGGCTTTCACAAGAATGAGCTTTCTGAGAGGCCCAAGGAGGAGGGCTGTCTGTCGCGCTGGGGGGGTGTCTGTTCCCACAGAGGGTCTCAGAAACCAGACAGACACAGGCTCTGAGTCTGGCTCTGCCACTTTCATCTGCAATTTCAGGCAGGTGATGGCCCTACTCAGTGCCTCAGTTTCCCTGCCTGCTCAAAAGCTTGCATAATCCCTGTCCTTGCTGGGGCTGAGAGGGTTGGACATCAGGGTAGGACTGAGAAGCATATTCCGTGTTCTTTAAGGCCAGGGGCGGGACAGGGGTGGCCAGGACTGTGCTGGGGGTCAGGTGCAAGCCAAGCTCATTTCTGGTGCCTAAAATTCCACTATTAGTGTTCCCACCCGAGAAGTGTGTATCTAGGCAGTTATTTGAGGGGTTGCCATTTAAATTTGAATTTCGCATAAATAATGAGTAATCTTTTTTTTTTTGTCTTTTTTTTTTTTTTTGTCTTTTTTCGTGTCCAGCAAGGGATCGCAACCCTCAGTGTTGCGCCCGTACCGGACCGGGACCGGCAACAGGATCACAACCCTCGGTGTTGCTCCCACACCTCGCTCAGCCAGTGAGCGGGAACCGGTCTGTATGTGGGATCCGAACCCTCGGCGGGAGCGCCACTGCGCTCTCAAGCGGCGCACTGTAGCAGTGCGCCACTGGGCCGGCCCTCTTTTTTTGTTTTTTAAAAGATGACCGGTAGGGGATCTTAACCCTTGACTTGGTGTTGTCAGCACCACGCTCAGCCAGTGAGCGAACCGGCCATCCCTATAGAGGGATCTGAACCCGTGGCCTTGGTATTATCGCACCACACTCTCCCGCATGAGCCACGGGCTGGCCCCATGAATAATCTTTTAGTACGTCTATCCCTGTCTCCCTCCAGCAGGGCTGGCTACTCACATAGGGTCTGGAACACAAAGAGAAGAGATGCCCTCCCCCCAATCCCCGCAGCCTGGAATTCCACCATCATCGCATTAGTTCCAGGGCCTAGAACATTGGGACTTTGGGGGATCAGCAGCCACTCCCTTCCCCCAGGAGGGCTGGTCCCAGGGAGGATACAGGGCTGGCAGGCACCCGCCCATGGGCCGATACCCTCCTGATGTCCAAACTCTCCGTTCATGCCTTGTCTCCAGGTCTTGGAACGCTGGCTTTTGGGGGCCGCTGCCTGGGTCTCTGGGACCCAATGTCTTAGGGAGGACTTCGCCACTTGCAGGCGGAGAGCGGCGGGGGTGGAAGCGGAGTTCTCGCCCGGGGGCCACCCTTGTCCATTGTGAGCACAAGAAAGAAGGATTGTGTGGGCCGGCAGGGCGGGCACAGACGTGCTCGCGGTCCACACCCGCAGGCACCGCGCACGCGCCCCGCAATAACTTCGTATAGCATACATTATACGAAGTTATCGTGTCAGCACCACGCTCAGCCAGTGAGCGAACCGGCCATCCCTATAGAGGGATCTGAACCCGTGGCCTTGGTATTATCGCACCACACTCTCCCGCATGAGCCACGGGCTGGCCCCATGAATAATCTTTTAGTACGTCTATCCCTGTCTCCCTCCAGCAGGGCTGGCTACTCACATAGGGTCTGGAACACAAAGAGAAGAGATGCCCTCCCCCCAATCCCCGCAGCCTGGAATTCCACCATCATCGCATTAGTTCCAGGGCCTAGAACATTGGGACTTTGGGGGATCAGCAGCCACTCCCTTCCCCCAGGAGGGCTGGTCCCAGGGAGGATACAGGGCTGGCAGGCACCCGCCCATGGGCCGATACCCTCCTGATGTCCAAACTCTCCGTTCATGCCTTGTCTCCAGGTCTTGGAACGCTGGCTTTTGGGGGCCGCTGCCTGGGTCTCTGGGACCCAATGTCTTAGGGAGGACTTCGCCACTTGCAGGCGGAGAGCGGCGGGGGTGGAAGCGGAGTTCTCGCCCGGGGGCCACCCTTGTCCATTGTGAGCACAAGAAAGAAGGATTGTGTGGGCCGGCAGGGCGGGCACAGACGTGCTCGCGGTCCACACCCGCAGGCACCGCGCACGCGCCCCGCCCGCATCCACACCCGGCCACCCGCGCCGTCGCACGCGAGGTCGGGGCCCACGCACTGCCCCTGCCAGACCGAACCTGCAGCAGGGCAGGTGCTTTCCCATTTCTCTTCCTCAGTGCCTTCTTCCCTCCTGTCTCTCTCTGTCTCCCTTTCTGGAATTTTTTTTTTTTTCTTTTTTTTTGGTTGCTGGCAGGTATGGGGATCCGAACACTTAACCTTGGTGTTCCAGCACCACGCTTCAAGGAACTGAGCTAACTGGCCAGCCCCCTTTCTCTCTTTCTCTCTGGCATTTCTCTCCTCGTCTCTGAGTCTATCCTCCTGTTTCTAGGTCTCTCTCTCACCCCCTCTCCTTGGTCCCCGTCCACTTGGGCAGGTCACTGGAGCCTCGGGTCCTGCATCCCACTCCCCCACACCCCACCCTGTTGTGCTGCAGCGGCCGCCCAGGCCCAAGGCCCTGGTCTAATCTCCATCTGGCCCCTAGGGCCCCTCAGGGCCAGAGGCTAATTCCCTGTGACAGCTGAGCCGAAAGACCCCAGTTCCCAGCAGTCATCCCACCCCGGCCAGGCCATTGGGGGCTTTTCACCCTCCCTCCACCCCATCTGAGAAAAACGCCTCTGTGAACCCCCCCTCCTGCTCCACTGCCTGAAATTCCACCGTCACGGCCACCTCTATGCCAGGGGTATCTGACCCAGCACGGAGGAGGGGCTTACACTGGGCCAGGCGGGCGATCCGGGCGTCCAGGGCGCGAGGCAGTCGGCGCAGCGGGGATAGCGGGGGTCCGAGGCGGTGGCTGAGGAGCAGGCCCTCTCGACACATCCAGATGGATAGCACGGAGCTGCAGAGCACCGAGGCCAAGGCCGCCGCCTTCCAGCGCTGCATCCTCGGCCTGCGGGCACGGGATGGTCAGCCACACACACCCCGTCTGTCCCTCCGGCCACAAACGGGTGCAGGGCGCTGGGCCAGGCACTGTGGACCCAATGGGGCCCCTGACTTTGAACAACTCCTGCTTAATGATCAATAATAACACAGAAGTGATTCATCAAGGAACCACGGAACAAGGTTGTGAAAACGCTGCCAAGGAGTAGGTGGGCTCTGTGCCAGGGGTAACAGGGGACCCGCCCCCATCTGGGGGTCCCAGAGTGCTTTCCTGAGGAGCTGGTGAGAGAGTTCAGAGTTGAACAAAGGTAGGAGTTGGCCAGGCAGAGCAGAATGGCATCTCGGGCAGGGGAATAGCCAGTGCAAAGGCCCTGGGGCTGGACCGAGCTTGGAGGAGGCCGGAGTGGCTGCAGTCCAGTGAGTGACAGGGAAGTGTGGAAGGAATGGGGGTATTTCCAGCAGGTGGCACTGTGGGACCAGGGTGGAGAGCCAGGGCGGTGCTTACCATAGTCAGGGAGGGAGGAACCTGGGGTTGAGACTGCTCCTTCCATATACATGCCCTTGAGTGACTCTCTGCCCCTTTCCGAGCCTCAGTTTCCCTTCCCAACAAATACACTGATGTCCAGGGGTGGGCAGTGATGGGCCAAACCTGCCCCCGACACTGAGTCCCACCTCCAGCAAGGCTGGTCCTTTCACCCGCAGCTGTTCCCTCCCTCCCCATTCCCATTCCCCTTTAAGGTTCAGCTTAAAAGGCACCTCCTCCGAGAGGACTTCCCTGACCGCCTGTGCTCTCTGCTCCAGCCTCAGGCTGCTGCAGCGGCGCCCTGTGGGCCTCCACAGTGCCCTGAATGCTCACTGCATACAGTAGGTGCTTAATAACCCGCGCGTTCCCTCGCCACCCCCCCCCCCCCCCCCGTCTGAGCTGCTCCCCAGCCCACGTTTACATTCCCCCTGGCCGTCTGGTGTCGGGCCGGGCGGAGCCTGGCGTCCAGCCCGGTGTAAACATTTACACGGAGCGCTGAAAGAAAGCGCCAGGCTGGACGCCGGTCAGCGCCCGGGCCAGCTCCGCGCCGGGGCCTGGCCCGCGGGGTCGCCGGGCGCCCCCATGCGCGCACCCGGAACGCGCGGGCTGCCCCGCACTGCGCGGAGCAGTTATTTGCGTGCAATTTGCATACAATTTGCATCTACTTGGCAGCGAGACTGGAGCCGCCTCTCCCCCCGAGCACCACACCCGCCACTCCCATGGATGCACGGGCACAGGAGCTACACCTGCCAGGCAGTAACAGGGGATATTTATTTATTTATTTATTTATTTATTTTTATTAAAGATGACCGGTAAGGGGATCTTAACCCTTGACTTGGTGTTGTCAGCACCACGCTCAGCCAGTGAGCTAACCGGCCATCCCTATATAGGGATCCGAACCCTTGGCCTTGGCGTTATCAACACCACACTCTCCCAAGTGAGCCACGGGCCGGCCCTAGCAGGGGATATTTATTAAGCACCTGCTGAGTGCCAGACCCTGTGCTAAGATCACACAAGAGAGGCACAAGCATCTCCATTTTCCAGCTGGGGAAACTGAGGCACACATCAGGTAGGAGTTTGCCCAAGGGCACTCGGCTAGAAAAGGACCTGGATTCCAGTCTAGATTCTTTGACATGGCGCACACCATACCGGCTGGGCTGTGCTTGGGAGCAAACGCTGGTGGTATTTGATACCGCCATTTTTGTTACTGTTGGTGGTGTTGGTAGAAAGTGAGCTCCCTTACACGGGGGCGTGTAAACATATCCTAGACCAGCTTGTGGGGTCTGTTGAGAGTCAACCTGAAGGGGAGGTTGACTTCCCCAGGGCAGCTCAAGTGGTTTGCTAGCACATAGTAGGTGCTAATAGACATTTGCTGAATGAATGAATGAACGAATGAATGAACGAACGGAGAGAGGAACAAAGAATCCCAAAGAAGACAGGCGTGGGTGGCTCAGATCCCAAATTAGAGGGTCCAGGGTTTCATATCTGTTGCCCTAATATGGCACCAGCCCCATTCAGAAAACCCACCTTCATTTATTAAGCACTGACTGTATACTAAGCCCAGAGATTTCAACTGTCATCTCTTTTTCACCCTCTCGATGAATCCATCCATCTATTTACCCATTCACTCGTCTAACATTGATTGACAACCTACAAATGGCCAGGCCCTGAGGATACTGTAGGGACCAAGACAGACTCACTTCATCTGGTGGAGAAGACAGACAATATGCAAAGAAACATAAGAAAGAATAAAATGATTTCAGGCAAGTGTTATGAAGACAAACAATAGTGAAAGGATTTTCAAGGGGATTATATCCGCTGGGGTGGTCAGGGGACCCTCCCTGAGGAGGAGACACATGTGCTAAGACCCGGAGTAAGAAGCTGGCAGCAGGAAAATCTGGTGGTAGGTGTCCTAGGTAGAGGCACAGCCTGTGCAAAGGTCCTGGGGCAGGACTGAGCCTGGCATGTTGGAGGAACAGTGAGGAGGCCCGTGTGACTGGAGCAGAGTGAGCGAGGGGAGAGAGGAAGGAGGGCAGGAAGGTGACAGGGGCAGGTGGTGCAGGGCCTGGGGTGGGCCATGGGGAGAATATTTCATTCTCAAGGTTATGCAACAAGCAGACGGCAGCCCCGACATCTGCCAAATCCTATCCCCCTTACCCTTAACAAGCACCTACTTTATGCCCAATCCCATTCTACACATTTAACACATACTAAGTCATGTCAATCTCACGAGAGTCCTAAGAAGCAAGGTAATTTCCTTATCGCCATTTTACAGATGGGGAAACTGAGGCCCAGGGCAGCAAAGTGATGTGCCCAGGGTCGCTCAGTTAGGATTTGAGTGCTGGTGGCCCAACCACCAGGAGGGGGAGACAAGCAGGAATACCCACCCAGGCCCAAGACCTCTCTGCACCCCCAGCACTCTGCCTGCCCTCACACCCAAGTCTTGGAGTAGTGTGCCTCAGTTTCCCCATTAGGCTGGAACAAAGCCCCTGCACAGCCTCGGGCTCTGGTCACCCATTTCTGCCAAGGTTTCCCAGGGGACTGAGAGGGTGACTGAGAAGCCATCTCCAGGAGGGCCCAGCCATGGGAGCCCCTGGTGGCCTTGGAGCTGCAGACCCCCCCCCCCCCGCCCCCGGGTTTGGGGGGGGGGGGGGG